TCAGTAAACAAATAAGCAGCAACAAGAAAATACAATAATAAACAAACAAACAAAATGGGAAAGAGGGTGGAAGAATCTGATACCAGAGTTGTTACAATATTTTACCTATGATGTCCAGTTTTTATCACAAAACTAAGAGACATTCAAAGAAAGAAGAAAGTATACCACATATACAGAAAAAAGTCAGGAAAATATCCTGAAGGGGGCCTAGATTTTGGTCTTGGTAGACAAAACCTGTATTTGAATTTTAGGAAACTATGCCTAAAAGTTTAAAGTATGATATCTGTATCTCACATCAAATAGAGATTATCAATAGAGATAGAAATTATTTATAAAAATATAAATTCTGGAGTTTAAAAGTATAAAAATTGAAATTGAAAAATTCACTACAGTGGTTCAACAACAGATATGAGAGGGCAAAAGATAGAATCAATTAACAAGATTGATTAATGGAGAAATCCACTCGAGAAACAGTAGGAAAAAGGAGTAAAAAATAAACAGTGCCTTAGTCACCTGTGGAATACCATCAAGCATAAGATGTGAATAGAAAAAAAAATCAATGATAAAAAATATCAATGAGCTATACCTATACATATCATAATTAAACTGATGAAAGTTCATGTGTTTAGGTATGGATCTTGCTGTGTTTATTCTAGAGAAAGTAGAAAAAGAACAGTAAACTCAAAGCAAGCACAAGGAAGAAAATAATAAAGATTACAGTGGAAATAAATAGAGAAAAGCAACAGAATCAATGAAACCTTTTTTGAAAAGATCAGTAAAACTGACAAACTTTTAACTAGACTGACCAAAAAAGAGAAGATCCAATTACCAAAATTAAAAATGAAAGGAGGGACATCACTACAAATCTTCCAGAAATACATAGGATAAGAGAATACTATTAACTACTGTATGCTGACAAATTAATTTAGATGAAAGGGTCAGATTTCTATAAAATTACAAACACTCAAGAGAAAATTTTAATAGAGCTATAATAAGCAAAGAAATTGAATTAGTATTTTAAAAACTCCCAACATAGAAAATGAAGGCCCAGATGGCTTTACTGTTTAATTCTACCAAGCATTTTAGGAAGAATCAACACCAATCTTCTATAAATCTTTCTACTTCTAACAAACAGGAAAGAAAAACTGATAAAAGACTTGAGCAGGCACTTCATCAGAGGATATATGGATCACAAATAGGCACAAGAAAAAATGTTCAACATCACTAACCATTAGGGAAATGAAAATTAAAACGACTATGCTATACCACCACATACCTATTAGATTGGCTAAATAAAATATACTGATAATACCAAGGGCTGAAGAGCATCCAGAGAAACTGGAAGTCCCATATAGTGCTTATGGGAATGGAAAATGATATGACTGTTTAGGAAAACAGTTTTGCAATTTCTTAAAAATTTTCTATATATATGTACCATATGACTCAGCAATCTTCTGTTTTATCCAAGTGATCTGAATACTTCTATTCACTCCAAAAGCTATACATGAATATTTACAGTGGCAGTTTCATTTGTAAAACCCAAGATGGGAAACAACGTGTCTCTCAACAGGCAAATGGATAAAGAAGCTGTGGTACATCCATACCACAACATATGCAGCAACAGAAAGGAATAAGTATTATAACATAAAATAATTTGAAGAATCTCAAGGAGAATATTCTGAGTCAAAAAAAGCCAGTCTCAAAAGACCTGTTTTTACCGTGAGATTACTTGCCTCTGGCTATAGTTGACTAGAAAGAAGTGGTATAATGTAAGTGCCTGACAATCAGCTTTTCTGATTGTAATGCATGCACCTGATGTTAAGCTGTTGATTTTTGAGGCATTCATTTCAAAGACATCCATTTCCAATAAACACATGGCCAGCTACACAACTAGATAAAAAGCCAGTCTACCCCACCCATGAGATTCCCCTTTTAAAAAGTCTGGGTTGACCTAGGTAACTAATCACTTGAGTGACCCCATTTTTCCTTTCCTGTGCTTTTATTCCTGCTCTTATTAAAACATAAGAGCAAATTTACCAATAAAAACTGAACCTGCAAAACCCCTGGCACCCTACCCTCAACCCAACAAAAGTAGAACTCAGGTCTGCTTGTGGACCCCAGGCATGTCGTGTACCTTCCAGGTCCCATGAATAAACTTTGCTTTTTCAAAGTTCCCTGATGGCTGCTGCATTTTGTAATCAAACCATAGATTAGTGACTAACATCCATACCAACATAACACAAATTTATCATCTTATAGTTCTGTAGGTTAGAAGGCAATCATGGGTCTCACTGAACTACAATTTAGGTGTTGGTAGGGATGCATTCCTTCTGGAGGCTCTAGAGAAGATCTGTTCCCCAGCCTTTTCCAGCTTCTAGGGGCAGCCTGAATTCCTTGGTTTGTGGCCCTCTTCTTTTGTCTTCTTTTCTTTTATTTTTTTTGTTATTATTTAAGACCTTTATTAATGGGTGCTTGCTGTTTGTTGACTTTTTTGAAAAAAATCAAGTTGTAAACTTTTATTACAAATTAAAAATGAAGTTCTTAAAAAAATCTCAACTTGACCAGATATGAAACAATTTAAAAACCTTTAAAGGTGTATTGAGAAAAACCAGGCTTAAAAAAAAAAACCACGCTTATCATTACCAAAAAGAGATGTCTTTAGGTAAAAATAATAAAAACCCCATGCTGCATAGATAATGCAGATAGTTCTATTTACCTGGTCAGTGGGCAAAAAGCAAGCACTTACTTAAGGTCTTCAGCTCCAATCTTTTGTTCATTTCTTATTGCTGGAATTTCATCTTCATTTTTTCATATTGGATGACTAAACTGGATGATGGTAGAGATGGTAAACTGGCATTTACTCAGCCTTGCCCTGCTCAGCCTCGGTAGCAGACGAATTCTCAGCTGGTGGAATGGCTGCTTTGGTCTTTTTGCCATCTTGTGGTTTAGGGTTTTCTGGGCGTCTGTGGTGGTAATTGAGGTTGCCGCGGTACTGACATTGAGGTGGCTGCTGACCTTGGGTCTCATCTCGATTTTCCTTATCTTCCTCATTGCCATCCTCTCTAGGTTGTCTTTGGCGAGGAGGACCCCTACAGAATTGTGGTCTATAACCTCGATACATATTCTGTCTCACTGGTCTACCTTGCTCTGCTGCACCCTAGTTGTCAACACCTTCCATCACTTCTTCCTGCACAGGAAGGTTGGAATACTGTGGTCGACGCCCATAGGGTCTCTGCATGTAGTAAGGTGGGAACCGTTGCCTGTGGTAGGGCCAGCGCTGTTGGGCCTGGCCTTCAGGAGCACTTTCTGATCCCTAGTTCTTTTCCCCACTCTCACTATTCTGGTAATTCTGCTGGTAATTGCGTGGAGGACCCCTGCGACGTGGATAGCATCTATGATGGTTACAGTCTGCTGCATATTTACTGCCTTGCACTGGAACTCCACCAGGGCCTGTAACGTGTGCTGCCTCCACACCCTTTTCTCCTTCAACAACATCAAACTTCACAGTCTCTCCATCTCCTACACTGCGAAGGTACTTCCTGGGGTTATTCTTTATGGCAGTCTGGTGTACAAATACACCTTCCTTGGTGTCATTCCTGTTGATGAAACCATATCTGTTTCTTACACTGAACCATTTTACTGTTCCCAAAACCTTTGTTGCAATGACCTTTTTATCCCTGCTGGCAGGTGCGGCTGATGTGAGGCCGCTGCTTCCCATGGTGCCAAGCTTGGTATTGGCAGTGCTGAGGGCGGGGGCGGCGGGTGGCTGCTGGGTCTCCACCTCGCTGCTCGTGGTTGCAGTGATGGTGACTGGGGCCGGCTGCTGGGGTGTGATGGTAACTAGGCTCCTCCCGGGGTGTGATGGTAACTAGGCCGGCAGCGGTGGTAGGGCTGCTCAGGGCTCTCTGGGGTCAGCTCTCTGTTCCTGCTACTGATCGAACTTCTCTCTTCTTTTTTTTTTTAAGATTTATTTATTTATTTATTGAGAGGGAGAGAGAGAGAGAGGCAGAGACACAGAAGAAGCAGGCTCCATGCAGGCAGCCCGACGTGGGGGGCGTGACTCAATCCCAGGTCTCCAGGATCACACCCCGGGCTGCAGGCGGTGCTAAACTGCCTGCGCCACCAGGGCTGCCCACAAACTTCTCTTTTATTTTCAAATCCAGCAATGTTACATCTCTCTGCCACTGTTCCCCTCCTCACATCTTTTCTTTGACCCTCTTTTCTCTCTTTCACTTTAAAGGGCCCTTGTGATTACATTTGACCCACCCGGATAATCCAGTATACTCTATTTTAAAGTCAGTTTATTATCAAACTTAATTCCATCTACAACCTCCATTCCTCTTTGCCATATAACCAAATGTAGTCACAGGATCCAAGAATTTGCATAAGGACATGTTTGAGGGCTGTTATTCTGTCTACTACAAATTCTGTTGAGATCTCACATATATCCTTATGGTTCAACGTCAACCTCCACTTGACTATGCACATGTAACGAAGAAGTCTGACTCAATTAACTTCTTTATTAAGTAGAGACTAATCCTCTTTTTTCAAATCAAATAAGTACATTTTTCTAATATTCTCATAAATAATAAACGATGATCTCTACATCACATAGAATATGACTGTAATTTTAAGATTGTCTTTGTTACCTAGAAATTCCTCAACAAACTCCAAACGCAAACCCACAGTTCCCACTGACTGCTAACATTTCAAAAACTATGTGGGGGATTGATGTTGGGCTTCCAGGTGTTTGTTTTCCAAGTAAAAACATAAAACACACTCACCTGCTCTCCAAAATCTATCATCTGTCCTTACCGTTATTTCATAAAAGAATATTTAATATCAAAAAGGTAGAAAAGAATCTCAGGATAATGTGTACTTCTTTAAAGCATCTTAGCTTAATAAGAAATAAATTATAAAAAATAAAAATATTATCATGATATTTCTAATTTTGCTGATCTTTGACCATGTTTTTTAAATCACTTTTAAGACCAATTTACCTGCAGCAGCTGCACCACTGTCCACTTGTGTCAAGGACTGGGGGCGGCTACGAAGTTTGCTTTTGAAAGATCTTGGTCTACGTGGTGATGAAGGTGGCTGAGGAACCTCTGATGACTGGATTTTGCTATCTTTAATTGCCCGAAGGCGTTCATAGAGCTCCTGCAGCTCCTTATTCTGCTGGGTTTGAAGATTTACCACCTCCTGAATGTGTCTAAATGAAAATCATGCAGAAAGCATTTTAATAGCACTGGCACCATATAGATGATCCAAGAAACTCTATGTCAATACAAATAAAGTTTAACAAGGAACTTAGATTAAGAATATGAAAATACAGAATATTCACAATTTTAGGATGGGATATGCCTTCCTAAACACATTAAACTAATCAGACACTAAGGAAAAAAAGTGAACAAATTTGACAAGAACAAATTTCTAAAACTTCAATATAGTGAAAAAGAATAAAATAAAATTTAAAGTCACATAATATTGACAATGTTAACCTTTATTATATGCTGCAAATATAAATAACAAAATATTTGCAACATATAGTAAAAGGTTACTATTCAGAATATACAGATAGTTCCTAAAAATCAATAAGAAAACAAGAAACAACCTTATAGGGAAAAAGGGGAAAGAATATATGAAGGCAACTCCAAAGAGGAGGAAATAAAAGGAGCCAATAAATATGAGATGATGTTCAACTTCACTATTAATTAGGAGACTACAATTATTTCTTAAGAAATATTTTTAGTTCATCTGCTTGGAATAAAAGTAAAAGGATCAATAATATCCAGTCCAATGTTGTTAAGAAGTGGGAAAAAAGGTACTATCATGTATATGTATTTTTAAGTAATCTCTATGCCCAAAGTGGGGCTGACTCATGATCCTACAATCAAGAGTCACATGCTCTACCGACTGAGCCAGCCAGGCACCCCACTTTCACATATATTTGTTTGGTGTATAAAATGGTATAGCTACCTTGGACAACAATTTTAGCAGTAGCTATCAATTTAAAGTGTACAAACCTTTTAACCCAGAAATTCTACTTTTAGGGATCTATCCCACAAGAAATATGTAAGTATATAAAAATAGAAGGATGTTTACTTCAACATTATTTACATAAGCAAAACATGGAATAAAGCTGAAATGTGTATTAATGATGGACTAAATAAACTTTAAATGACTAATGTATGGAATAAAGATTTGTGCAAATATGTATATATATATATATAAGCAATAATGTTAAATAAAAAAACTACATAACATATATATTATGACCTCACTTTTATAAAACACAAATGTATATATTTGTGAATGCATAGAAAAATAACAGGCAAGATATATACCAAACAATTCATAGCGGCTGCCTCTGAGAAAGGAGGTTGGGGCATGAGAAGAGATTGATTTGTATGTTTTCTTACTGTTGCGATATTATGATTTATATTAAAATATATACATTTGGTCTTTATCCCTGTTCCTGGAATACAGCTCCTAAAACCCTAGTAATCTCCTGAGCTATAAAGGATTAGGAGAATCTTTTTTATCATTTTTTTGTTAAAGATTTTATTTATTTATTCATGAGAGACACAGAGAGGCAGAGACATAGGGAGAGGAGAAGCAGGCTCCATGCAGGGACCCAGGACGCTGGGATCATGCCCTTAACCAAAGGCAGATGCTCAAATGCTGAGCCACCCAGGAGTCCCATGAGAATCTTTTATTTTAATATTTGGTCTGTTGTCCTCAAATAGTTTCAGTTCCAAAGTAGCTCTGGAGTGATAGAGGTGAAAGGAATCTTATTATTTATAACAAGCCCCTTGGAATCACACCTAAGTTTATATAAATGCACTAACTTGGGACGCCTGGGTGGCTCAGTGGTTGAGCGTCTGCCTTTGGCTCAGGGCATGATCCCAGGTCCTGGGATAAAGTCCCACATCAGCCTCCCTCTATGTCTGCCTCTCTCTCTGTGTCTCTCATGAATAAATAAATAAAATCTTTTTTAAAAATGCACTGGGACGCCTGGGTGGCTCAGTGGTTTAGTACCTGCCTTTGGCCCAGGGCATAACCCTGGAGTTCAGGGATTGAGTCCCGCATTAGGCTCCTTGCATGGAGCCTGCTTCTCCTCTGCCTATGTCTCTGCCTGCCTCTCTCTCTCTCTCTCTCTCTCTCTCTCTCTGTCTGTCTCTCATGAATAAATAAATAAAATCTTTTAAAAAAATGTACTAACTTTTAAACAGCCCCTAAGGATGGGGGCTGATTGCCAGGAGACCCAACCAAGTGATTAGGGAGAGGGACTTTCAGCCCCTCGCACTATCCCTCTGGGGAGGGGTTAGAAGGTAGAAATTCAGTTAATCACCAATGGCCGTTAATTTAAATCAATAATACCTACTATAATGAAGCTTCCATAAAAATCCCTTAACTATAGGGTTTGGGGAGCTTCCAGGTTGGTAAATAAATGAAGGTGCTGGGAGAGTGGCACTCCCAAGAGGGCATGGAAGCTCCATGCCCCTTCCCCTATATCTTGCCATCTGGTTGTTCCTCAGTTGTGTCCTTTTATAATACACTGATGATCTAGTAAGTAAACTGTTCTGAGTTCTGTAAGCTGTTCTAGTAAATAACTGAACCCAAGGAAGGGCTTGTAGGAACCTTTGATCTACAACAGGTTGGTCAGAAGCATACGTAATACTACCTGGACTTATGATTGGCATCTGTGGAACTGAGACCTTAACGTGTAGATCCGATGCTATCTTTGTAATTTTCAATCATCAAAAATTCCCAATCATTAAAATGTCACCAATTGTGGGGCACCTGGGTGGTTCAGTCAGTTAAGTGTCTAACTTTTGGCTCTGGTTCAGGTCATGATCTCAAGGTTTTGAGTTAGAGCCCTGTTCTGGGCTCCACTTTCAGCACGGAGTCTGCTTGAGATTCTTTCCCCTCTGTCTCTTCCCTGCTCACTCTCCCTCTCTCTCAAATAAGTAAATAAATATATTTTTAAATGTCACCAATTGTAAATTAGCTATCAAATACTTAATTCTATAAAACTCCAGGCAGATTTGTGATAAAAGAGAAACAATCAAAAAAAAAGAGAGAGAGAGAGAGAAACAATCTTACTTTTCTCGTAATCTTTCAAGCTCTGCCTTCAAATCCTCATCCTCTATTTCTGACTCATCATCACTGCTCATTGGAGAAGATGGCGAATAGAAAAGTGAGCTCTGTATTTGAGCACAGGCTTTTTCTTCATGGAGTGGTAAGCACTGACCACTCTCTGGACCAGTGTTTGCCACTGACTTCCCTCTGACAGCAAGAGTGGCTGAAAATTCACTATCAGAGCTTGGCTGTTTCCCAGCAATAAGTATCTCTCTCTCTTTAAGCAACAATTCAAGTCCAGAATGCATACTACTTTCCGTGGCTGAGTTTTCCCCCAATTCTTTTTCTGGGGTCATTGAAGATACATCAGCTTCATGAGCTGTGCTGAAAGATGTGAGGTTGTCACATTGTTTGAGAATTTTTTTATCTTCTTTAAAGGTTTCATGAAGAACTCGTAACTTCTGAGAAGGAAGTGAAGTTTGTGGATTGTGTGTGGCAGGTTCCATTTCCACTAACTGAGACTTTGCCATGTCCGTAAAGGCTAAAGCTTCTTCACTAGAATGAGTTGTCATTTTATTGAATGCTGGTGTGCGCTCTATTCCAAAAGATGTCACTTTCACTGACTGTTGCTGAGGAACTGTAATCACCTGAGGAAAAAAAAAAGGCAAAAGTGGCTGGTTCTGTCTAACCAAAGAGCAAACCCACAAAGAAATTCAATATCAAAATATGGCACAGACAAGTGGATGGTCTGCTGTGATGTACACACATTGATAATATCCAAACTTAAAATCCCATCTATAATTCCCATTTTCAAAGTCTTTCACTCGGGCTCCTTGGGTAAAGAGAGTGGACTTCATATTACTCAAATAAAATACTACAATTTAAAAATTTTTGATAATTCAAGTTGCTGAGATTCTAAAGGACAAGAAATAGATTTATAAAAAAGATGATCCAACCACCCACTGAAAAATGATAACTCATTTCTGTGCTCTTTTCCAGCTACTAAAATTACTACTTCTTTAGACTTGCCTTTACTGGAAGGCTATGAAAGATAACAGACTGTGTATAAGGGGAAAAAATTAAATATGACAATAATCTACATCTAAGATAAATATCCTCTAAATACCAAGATCTTCAATGCCCGTGTAGATAAAGATTCAACCAAAGACACAAACCTGGAATCGACCCCGCTGAAATGATCCACTCATTGCTTTACATCTACTCAAAGCCCTAGTATCAGCTGTGGACTCTCCTGTCAGAGGAATGGGATCAGGACCAACTGCTGATCTCCTATCTTCTGTTTCCACTGTAAGTTTTATGCAATTGTAAGCAGAAAAGAGAAAATTGTTTGTTAAGACTAAATTTGTTTATATTACCAAAAAATGAAGAAATGTAGAAAAAGCTTAACCCTGCTAATTAAAAAGTGTTAATGTAATAAGCAACATTGTAGAAGTCCCTAACTCAAAATCAGACATTGTAAGACTTATCACGAGACTTAGTATCTACATGAAATGAGTAACTATAAAATCAAATTAGTTACAAAAGGAAAAGGAAAATGGCAATGACATTAATGGGACATGTCACATACATGGGCTATGTGGAAAAAGTGGTTAAGATTTGTATATGAACAAACAAACAACAAAAAAAAGAAGTAAATGAAAAGTGATGTTACCTAGTCTATGTCCCTGACTGTAAGCACACTACCTTGACGGACTTTTGATCTCTTGAAAAAGCTGGTTGACTGCCGTAGCCTGTATGCCCAGCTTTTTAATTTGCGAGTCCAGGATTTCTTGCTAATAGGATTTTTGAGACTAGGACAAGTAAAGCTTAGGCCAAAATATCCACCTCCTGTCTGCAGATGAATGGCTCCACCGCTTGACACAGCAGCAGGATAGGCCTCTGGATCTCCTGGAAGTGAAGCATCTGGAGACATCTCCTAAATGGAGACAAAAAGAGAAAAACCAAAATGGTAATAATTTATATAAGGTGAAGCAGTTGTGTGCACCACTGGAGTTTCTTGCATGGACTAATGAGTAAGCATAAATAAAATGCTATATATATTTACATATCAGAGTGAATCTGAAATAGTCAACTTCTAGGAATTAATCCTTTCCTTTTCTTTAAAAATATTATCTGAACTTCATATAAATAAAGAGCAGAATATTAATCTTTCACCCTAGAATATTTTCCATTATAGCAACTTTGAAAACTGAAGATTAAAATTTAAGTTATTTCCTTCATAAACTTTTTAATAAAAATGGTTACTGAAACCCTATGCTCTTAAAATGAAACTTTCGTTTATGCTCATATTTGTGAGAATTAAAGATGCCTAATATACATGATAACATAGAAAAACAAGATATCTAGGCATTTAGATTTGTAGAGAAATCTTACCAAATTGAATTTCTTACTTTATGTAAGCACACAGAAACTTACAATGGGCCTCAAAATTATTTCAAATTCTTGCTCTAAAAATTGTTAACATCAGGCCATAGTTGGCTATAAAATCACTCTCCTCTTCTTGTCTTCCTACCTCTCCCAACAACATGTCAGAATTAACTGCTGTATTCTGAGTACTTTAAAAATAAATCCTCCATAATAATTAATACAAAAAATACTCACTTTTGAGAAACATGAAACTAGAATTTGAGCTCCAAAAAAAAAAAATCCTGACCTACTCACTGAATGGGAGAGTAAACTGGTTGGCGTACCACAGAAAGAATATATAATGCAGTTCTTTCCCTCCCTATCTCTACAAGCAAAAGACAGCAGGGGCATCTGCTCCCAAATAAGAGTGGTGAGAGGAAAATGTGGCCAAATCAGCAATGTAGGAAGGAGACAACTTCCACAAGGAAGGAAAAGCACTTCTATCTTTGAAGACTATTAAGCCACCCTCCTGGCAGCATTTGGAGAAAAATTATAATATTCAGAGCCAAAAAACATGTCCCATGCCTTTCCCACAATTACCAGAGGAAGGCTACAATAATTATATATAGCATTTAGAGAGACAAACAAAGAATCTTAACAGGGGAAAAAGAAGAGTACACAACTAAGAATCATCAAATGTGGGAAATTGATACTATAAGAAAATACTAGGGGCACCTGGCTAGTTCAGTCAGTGGAGCATATGACTCTTGATCTCAGGATTGTGAGTCTACACTGCGTGTGGAGCCTGTATAAAAAGTAAGTAAATAAAATTTTTTAAAAAGAAAGCAAGCACTAAATTCAACAAGAAGAATAGCCAATAACACAGAATAAGACTTTAATTAATCTCTAGAAAGATGTGTGAAGATAATACAAACATAAGAAAAATAATGAACTATAGTTACTGGAAATTAAAAATGTAATCCTTAGGGTGCCTGGGTGGCTCAATGGGTTAGGTGTCCAACTCCTGATTTTGGCTCAGATCATGATCTCAGGGTTGTGAGAATGCATCCTGCATTGGGCTCCAGGCTGGGTGTGGAGCCTGCTTGAGCTTCTCCCTCTCCCTCTGACCTTCTCCACGCCCCTTTCTTAAAAAATGATAAAAGTAAAAATAATAAAAATGAAAAAACAAAAATAGAATCCTTGACATAAAAAATAGCTGAACAGGAAATTGGAAACAGCTTAAAAATTGAGAAATTCTCTACAAAAAGCAGAAGGACAAAGAGATGGAAAGCATGCAATGAAAAGTTAATAAGGAAGTGAAGAAATAAACTATCTCTTTTTGCAGACAATATGATCTTATGTATTATACATATAATCCTAAATAATACACAAATTCAGCAAAATTGAAGGATACAACATCAACACTTCAAAATTAGTTATACTTTTATACAATAGCAATGAAAAATCTGAAAAGGAAATTAAGAAAACAATTCCATTTATAATAACAACAAAGAATAACAATGGTGCTGGAACAACTGGACAGTCAGATGCAAAAGAATAAGGTGAACTCTTATTTCACACCATATATATATAAAAACTAACTCAAAATGACCCTGCCACATATACTTAATCAAGTGTGAAACAAACAAAAGGCATTTTTGGACTTTAAAAAAATAGTCACCCATACAACATACTTAAAAATATTACTCATAGAAGCATTTAAGGGGGGGGGAGGAAATTCTAGGACACCAGAAACAGTGGCAAGTTAGGACTGATCCAGATGTAGCAGTGGACACTTAAAAGAATCTATTTGACCTTGACATTTGAAAGAATGTCCTCTGAGCAACAAAATTTAGATGACAGAAAAGTCTATTTCATTTCCTGTGCTTTTAATATTACATCATCAGATACACATATAATCATAATATAAATGTTGTTTATTGATCTTCAATCCTTCAAGTCAACCTACAGACAAAGCACAACCAGTGTTACAGAAAAAAATGTAGATGTTATAAACTTTACCAGTGTTAAAAAGTAATACAAGTAATAAAAATTGGGAGATGTATGGGAAAGAAGAGGAAAGGGAAAATACAGTAATTTCCTCACTCTTCACAGCTGTGAATTATTAGGTATTATCTAAAATTATTACATCAAAAAATAGATGAATAAGTATATTATTTACAAGTTATTAATGCCAATGCCCTCAAGAATTAAAACCAAGAACTTAACAGTGTTTGTGGAATAGGATGGGGTATTAGAAGTTGTTAACATAATTACTTTAATTTTTTTATCCTTCTGAATTGCTTTCCTGTTTATATATTAATTGCATAATTTAAAGTTACTAGTTTATAACAATATAAATATTTGTTATATCTATTCAATGGAATGTTATGCATTGTTTAAAAAACATAAGTGAAGTGGAACTACGTGTACCAACATGGATAAATGTTCATAATTGAAAAAAAATGCAGAACAGCACAAGTATGTAAAGAACCACGTGTATATAAACATATATATCTATGTCTTTGTAAATATGTATTAAGGAAGTATGATTAGGGCACTTGGGTGGCTCAGTTGGCTAAGCATCTGACTTTGGATCAGGTCATGACCTTAGGGGGAATGGAGCCCCAAGTTGAGCTCCCCACTCAGCAGGGAGTCCTCTATCCCTCCCCCCTGCTCATGCTCTCTCTCAAATAAATAAAATCTTTTTTTAAAAAATTAACTATGATTACATAAATATTTGTATGTTAATTAAAACCATGTCTGCAAAGATTCATTAATAGTTATATCTATAGGTTTGAAATGGGATGGATTTTACTTTATATACACACATATACTACTTATATAATAATAAAAAGATATAGTGAAGATTTAGAAATGTATCTATAATATACTATAAATGAAAAGGTAACTTTGCAGATCAATATGCATATAGCACACTCCTATTTCTGTAAATAAAAAGTTATAGGTATGTAAACAGATCTGTGTAAGCATAAGAAGGGTAAGTACCAAATAGTGGATAAATGCCAGATAGTTGTTACCTCTGTAACAACTTAAAAAACCTTCAAAAAATATCATAAGATTTCACTTATATGTGGAATCTAAGAAACAAAACAAACAAACTGGGGCAGGGCAAGAGGAAAACCAAGAATCAGACTCTTAAAACTATAGTGAACAAACGTATGGTTACCAGAGGGTGGTGGGTAGGCTATGAGGATTAAGGAGGGCATTTGTGATGACACGGGGTAATGTATGCAAGTGCTGAATCACTATATTGTACACTTGAACTAATATTATACTCGATGTTAACTGGAATGTAAATAAAAACTTAATAAATAAACCATTTTTTTCAAAATAAAACCCACCAAACAAGATTAAACTTAAACCATGAACTTTTAAGAAAGGAAATGGATAACAGGCACTTTTAAGTGGAAATCTAAAAGTCAGTTCTTCCTACCCACTAAAACAATCTACAAATCAGCCCTATTGCGCTATTTTGCCACTAATACAAAAAACAAAATAACAACAACAAAAACACCCACATACACACACACACACAAAAACAAAACAAAATAAAAACACATCCTTGCAAGTTCCTAGCTAATTCACCAGAGGGCTCTCTCACCAAATACTTCTGTCATCTCTTTCTAGAAATTCTAGGCATCTGCAGCTTAAGCCTTGGCCTTCTTAAATACCTGTGACCTCAGAATCTTGTGACATAGACAATTTCATTTCAAAGGATAGAACTTTAGAAAACAAGGAATTTCTTTAAAAGAGTAAGGGTAAGAAATCGATTAGAAAGAATAATACTTACATGTAAACATAATTCGCTGGGTATAGAAGTTATCACATTCAGGTCCCTTTTGAATACTGATATGTTAGCAGGCTGACTTGCAGCCACATTGAACAGAATCTTAGAGCCTGTCTGCTGAAAATTAGGGGACTGTGCAGGACTATCTTGAAGTCCACTGTGGCTGATGCCTATGACTTCTGGCACTGGACATGAGAGCGTATCTTCAGCAGAGGAAGAAAATGGAGAGTCTATGCTTTGGGTATCCTTCTGACTCTCAGGATAGATGCTAGATATGCTATGCTCCTGATAGAGCAAATTTCTTAACTTTTCATCCAGAGTTTTAATTCGGTTGTCTGCAAACTCCATTTTTGGAGGTCTTTCCCCTTCTGATTCCAAGACAGCAGTGGGTAGTAGGGCAGTCAGTTCAAGGCCAGGGGTCTGAGTGGGAATGACCATCTTAGGAGAACTTGCTTCAGTGTTCATTGTGGTTTCTCCTTCTTGGGAAATAAACTCTGCATCCATAGATGGCTGCTGCACTACTAAGGACTGAGGCTTTTGATCAGACATAAATGCCAGAGTTGTAAGAGAGTTACCAGCAATCTGAGTTGACTCGCCAGGAGGGACCATAAGTACATCCGCCTGACTGGCAGCTTGGTGACATGGATATACAGGTAGAAATATGCCTGCTTGTTTGGTGAGTCCCTCACATTCAACTGCAACTGCACGAACTGAAGTAGCAGTATAACTTGAACTACTAGTAACTGGTGCCATTATCTGCCTGTCATCTTCCACTTGGTAAAATACAGCTGGATGCTTAGTTTCTACACTGGCATATTCAGAAATCTTACCATCAACTACATCCTTGAGTTCTGACTTGGAGGCAAAAAGTACACGCTGGCATGGACTACTTTCTAGAGTGGGAAGTGTGTCCTGTGATAGTTCCTTATTACTTGCGGTTCTTGGACCTGGAACAATAACAGAGAATAGCTAGGCATATATTAATAAATACAGAGTACAGACTGGTAACCAAACTCAAAGGGGACAAGAGGAGCAAGGGACAAACAAGAACCTGTGTGAGTAAGTCTTATAAATAAGACTCAAAATACACAGAATTCAAACTGTCAAGGAATAAAAACCTCTTATTTTTTCATAAATATTATAATTTAAAAAATATTAATTTTAAAATGTTTTACATTATACCCTAATAACACCTTCAAAAATGCTTATGAAAATTCTCCTAAGAATGAAATACCCATGAACACAAACTAAAGATATGGTAAATATTTTGTGACCCCTCCAAGTCTGGATAAAGTTGGCAATGAACACTTACTAGGAAGTCGAGATAGCCCAGGAACTGTAGACAGGGATTGCTGAAGAGAAGGAGGAGACTGAACCTCACGGTTTCTTATTGTCTGATTGATACAGAATCGCCACCGTCCAACTGGGGATGACTGAGAAGCAGATTCATCTGCAGAAATAATTAGTAAAAATCAATATGCTAAGCAATTTTCAACATGTTTACCCTATTAAGGAAACCAAGTTAAAACATCAATTTGTCTTGTATCTCCATTTCCAACAGCACTGGATATGTGTAATTTATAAGACCAGACCTCCCAACACTGGCAAATACTCTAAAGAACTAAGCACAAGATATCATTAGGGAAGGATTTTATAATCTATGAAACAAACATTTTATCAATAGGAATTAGAAGCAGGGCACATTTCTGGGAAAAAATGGAAAGCACTTTCTCCAATAAAATCTGTTATCTCCTGTTCTGTATCCTGATTATGATGATGCTTACACAAATCTATGAGTATTAAAATTTACAGAACTATACACCAAAAGAAAAACATCAATTTTACCACATGACAACTTAAAAACAAAGTAAATCCCTACATCTTTACTCCTACATTGTAAACTTGTCAAATAAGTAATTTTTTAAAACTCTACCCTACTTTATTAGTCAGAAATCTGCTCAAATTCCTCCTAACAAGAAAGAACAGCGGAGGACCCTGGCATCCTAACACAAAGTAAATTTCAGGGTAATGGTATCTGATTTCATGACTCCCACACCACCTGTTGCTTCTTCATGTTGTTATAATTCCTTCACAGGTCCTCATTTGTCTATGGCTCTTCGCCCCCTCCCAGATACTCTAAATATAACCATGACCAGAGCTGAAAAGAATGGAGAGATAAAGTCATCAGAAAAGAAAACAGAAGACCCCATTTTTAGTCCCTGGAAGTTTAGTTAGTATCTGATAATTACAAAAACTTATCAGTGATCACAGCAGAAGTCTAACACTAGTGGAAGGAAATCAAGATATAAATGACTATATTAAAACATGAGGCAAACTTAGAACATAGTGATATTAGTTAAGTTCTGTCCATCTCATATTAGTGGTTAAAAAAAAAAAACAACTTACCAGTTAAGTTCAAACAGTAAAGCCGTTAAAGGTCATCAGTACTGTGACTGCTTTTCTGGTAACATACCATGCAACGACTCAGAAATAAATTAACTGGGTAAAGAACCAACACTTGAAGGAAATCTGGAGAATGGTTTTACTTCTTACGTCTGGGCTTTTTAAAAAGGCCTTTCAAAGTACAGGAAAACCTACATTAATAATTTACTAATTTCCTTTATTGGCTAAAGGAAATGTTTCCCAATGAAGATGTGTAAATTAAAGTTCAAATGTCTTCAAAAGCCACATGGTAAATTTTATTAAATATACTTACTGCTGGTTTGAGTGGATGCAGAACTTATCTGTACTTGTTCAGACGATCCTGTCTGAATTAAAAATGAACAGATAAATAAAGAAGTTCCTGATATAGATCTGAGAAGACCTATTTGCTAAACAACTGCTCTTACTTGGCCACTGTTGGGTTCCACAATAATAGAATCAATTCCGGTGGCTCTATCTGCAGCAGAGTGGACATGAAGCGTCTCCTGGGCTTGACCTACAATAGCCCTCAGTTCTTCTACAAATTTTCCTTTCTCACTTTCTAGCACGAAGTTATCTTCAACCTGTCCAAAAGTAAGTCTATTAATTTCAGTTTTCTCAAAATTATAATATTGTATCAATGTTGACTATCGTAAAGAAAAATAAATTAAAATTAATTATTTAGATACAAATGCCACAATAGAATTAAAAACGACCAGTATGGGGCACCTGGGTGGCTTAGTCAATTGAGCATCCAACACTTGGTTTCAGCTCAGGTCATGATCTCAGGGTCGTGAGATCAAGCCCTTTGTCAGGCTCTACACTCAGTGGGGAGTCTGCTTGAGATTCACTTACTCTGCCCCTCCCCCTGCTCATGCTCTGGCACTCTCCCTCTAAAAATAAATAAATAAATCTTAAAAAAAAAAAACGACCAGCACTAAAATACCACATTATACATTAAATTATTCTCTTTTTGAGACCACTGCCAATTGTCAGATTGTTACTACCTACCAGCAAAAAAGCCAGCATTTTAAAAAATATCTTGCACTCTATAAATTATCATTTGAGGAACATAACTGAGACAATCTTTATGATTCCCACTAGATGTCCAAACCCAAACGTTTTTAAATCACAAAATGAAATATCTCTAAAAGTTATAAAGAATGGCCTGGAGAGAGTTCAGAAGATACTATGTTAAACAAGAGTCAAAACTGACAACATTATTAACTTTTAAAATGCTTAATTCTATTTCTCTAGGAATGCATATCTAAAGAAAACTGGCAGAAACAAAAGCATTATGTACTCTTCCTTCCACCCTTGCTTATCTGCATTTAAAAAGGGCAAAACTACTAACTTAAGAATAACAATTCAAAGAAAATATGAAAACTAAATGAAATGAGCATTAAACATCGATTAGTAAGATGATATATCAGAAACTAACACGTTAGGATTATGTGGCATATACTAAAAACTATTGATGCTTAGGCGTTATGTCCAAAGATTCTAATTTAATTAGGGACCCAGGCAATGGATTTATTTTAAAAACTCTTAAGGTGACTTTAACATGCAGCCAGGGATAAGTATCACTGACCTAGATAATGTCTTAATAAAACCCCCTCACATGTTAGAAATAAATATATTGGAATGAAAGAAGGTACAGTGACTTAGTTTTGATCATAAGCAGTGTAATTCTGTGCAAATTTTAAAAACTAATGGTACCCCCAAAAAGGTTGCTTTGAATAAATGAGAGGAAAAAAAGAGACAGAATGCTGAAGGGAAGATAATTTGGTTTCATTGTATTTACCATATAGTCTGCAATATCCTCTGGTGCATCACCATCAACATCAAACTTGAAGGTGACCATCTTATTGTTGTGTGTCTCCAGTTGACACTCCACCATATTGTCTCCAGATACTGACACCTGGGCACAAATATTTCACCAATTTAAGAGTCAGAATTATTACCTTCTCTTTGCAAATGGACCAAGGAACATGTATGTAGATGAGCTGACATTCAAATATATGGAAAAATAGTTTAAGTTGCTGAGAAGATAAAAAGAGTCCTTTCCCCTATTGAAATACTGCATTAACACCCATTCTATGAAAATATGAGTTAAATTAGCAAAATATAAATTAGAAATGTGATCCCAGTGGGAAAGAAAAAGGAACACAACTTTTATAAAAAGACAAAAAAGTCAGAAGACTCACTATATTTTTCCAAAATGCAAAGATTGTTCAGTCATCCAAAATTCTCTTAATCCCACAAATTGGCTCTTTAAACAAAAGAAAATGCACCGCTAATGGGGGCAGCCTGTGTGGCTCAGCAGTTTTGCACCGCCTTTGGCCCAAGGTGTGATCCTGGAGACTCGGGATCGACTTCTGCGTTGGGCTCCCTGTATGGAGCCTGCTCCTCCCTCTGCCTGTGTCTCTGCCTCTCTCTGTCTCTCATGAATAAATAAATAAAATCTTAAAAAAAAATAAAATGCACCCCTAATGGAAATGTATATTGGTCCAACCTTTTGGGACAGCCCATCTATCAATACATATTTTTAAATTTTTTAAATCTTCATACAGTTTCACTAGTTTTATTAATTTATTTTAAATTGAAATATAATTAACATACAGAGTTATACTGAATTCAGGTGTCCAACATACTAATTTAACAATTCCACATGTCACTCAATTGGCTCATCAAGGTAAATGTACTCACCATCTGTCACCAAATATCGTTATCACAATGTCACTGACTATATTCCCTTTGCTGTGCATACATCCTCCCCAACAAAACGACAAATCCCCAACAAATCCTGCCTGACAACCACTTTTATTCTTTGTATTAATAAGGCTAGTTTTTTGCTTTTTGTCACTTTTTCACCCATTAATTCTAAGAATGAAGCATTAAAAAGAATCAGGGAGGCTTATAAAGATCTGTGTTCAAAAGTGCTACAGAGAGACACACAGACAAATAGACAAAAGGAAAGAGAAAGACAAAAAGTTAAAGATGACAGACTGGCAAAGAGACTGACAGAAAGAAACAACCTAAATGACAAACAACAGAAGAAATTAATTACAAAAAATAGAGAAGTAAAATTTCCAAATTCATTCTATGAGGCCAGCATTAACTAGATGCCAAAAGCAGATAAAAAAAACTACAAAAAAAATAACTAACTATATGCCAATATCCCTGATAAACATGGATGCAAAAATACTAAACAAAATACTACCAAATTGAATCCAACACAATAAAAAAATCATTCACGGAGGAGGGGCAAGATGGCGGAAGAGTAGGGTCCACAAATCACCTGTCCCCACCAAATTACCTAGATAACCTTCAAATCATCCTGAAAACCTACGAATTCGGCCTGAGATTTAAAGAGAGACCAGCTGGAAGGCTACAGTGAGAAGAGTTCGCGCTTCTATCAAGGTAGGAAGACGGGGAAAAAGAAATAAAGAAACAAAAGGCCTCCGAGGGGGAGTGGCCCCACAAGGAGCCGGGCTGAGGCCGGGGCGAGTGTCCCCAGGACAGGAGAGCCCCGTCCCGGAGAAGCAGGAGCTGCACCAACCTTCCCGGGCGGAAAGGGGCTCGCAGGGAGTTGGAGCAGGACCCAGGAGGGCGGGGATGCCCCCGGGCTCCTTGGGACACTAACAGACACCGGCACGGCGCGCAGGAGAGTGCACCGAGCTCCCTAAGGGCTGCAGCGCGTACGGTGGGGCCGGAGCAGCTCCAGGGGCTCGGGCGGCGGCTCCACGGAGGGGGCTGCGGGGCCCCGGGAGCAGCTAAGCTCATTCAACTGAATGCGATGCAATCCAAACTAGAAGTCCTAACGACAAGGGTTTACGAGGTGGAAGAACGAGTGAGTGACACAGAAGACAAGTTAATGACAAAGAGGGAAACTGAGGAAAAAAGAGACAGACAATGAAAAGACCATGAAGACAGATTAAGGGAAATAATGACAGCCTAAGGAAGAAAAACCTACGTTTAATTGGGGTTCCCGAGAGCACCGAAAGGGCCAGAGGGCCAGAATATGTATTTGAACAAATCCTAGCTGAAAACTTTCCCAATCTGGGAAGGGAAATAGGCATTCAGATGCAGGAAATAATTTTTTTAATTTGTATTTATTTATGATAATCACACAGAGAGAGAGAAAGACAGGCAGAGACACAGGCAGAGGGAGAAGCAGGCTCCATGAACCAGGAGCCTGATGTGGGATTCGATCCTGGGTCTCCAGGATCGGGCCCTGGGCCAAAGGCAGGCGCCAAACCGCTGCGCCACCCAGGGATCCCCAGATCCAGGTAATAGAGAGATCCCCCCCTAAAATCAATAAAAACCGTTCAACACCTCAACATTTAATAGTGAAGCTTGCAAATTCCAAAGATAAAGAGAAGATCCTTAAAGCAGCAAGAGACAAGAAGTCCCTGACTTTTATGGGGAGGAGTATTAGGGTAACAGCAGCCCTCTCTACAGAGACCTGGCAGGCCAGAAAGGGCTGGCAGGATATATTCAGGGTCCTAAATGAGAAGAACATGCAACCAAGAATACTTTACCCAGCAAGGCTCTCATTCAAAATGGAAGGAGAGATAAAGAGCTTCCAAGACAGGCAGGAACTGAAAGAATATGTGACCTCCAAACCAGCTCTGCAAGAAATTTTAAGGGGGACTCTTAAAATTCCCCTTTAAGAAGAAGTTCAGTGGAACAATCCACAAAAACAAGGACTGAATAGATATCATGATGACACTAAACTCATATCTGTCAATAGTAACTCTGAACGTGAACGGGCTCAATGACCCCAATAGGCACAGGGTTTCAGACTGGATAAAAAAGCAGGACCCATCTATTTGCTGTCTACAAGAGACTCATTTTAGACAGAAGGACACCGACAGCCTGAAAATAAAAGGTTGAAGAACCATTTACCATTCAAATGGTTCTCAAAAGAAAGCAGGGGTAGCCATCCTTATAGCAGATAAACTAAAATTTACCCCGAAGACTGTAGTGAGAGATGAAGAGGGACACTATCTCATACTTAAAGGATCTATCCAACAAGAGGACTTAACAATCCTCAATATATATGCCCCGAATGTGGGAGCTGCCAAATACTTAAACGAATCATTAACCAAAGTGAAGAGATACTTAGATAATAATACACTTATACTTGGTGACTTCAATCTAGCTCTTTCTACCCTCGATAGGTCTTCTAAGCACAACATCTCCAAAGAAACGAGAGCTTTAAATGATACACTGGACCAGATGGATTTCACAGATACTTACAGAACTGTACATCCAAACTCAACTGAATACACATTCTTCTCAAGTGCACATGCAACTTTCTCCAGAATAGACCACATACTGGGTAACAAATCGGGGCTGAACTGATACCAAAAGATTGGGATCGTCCCCTGCATATTCTCAGACCATAACGCCTTGAAATTAGAACTAAATCACAACAAGAAGTTTGGAAGGACATCAAACACGTGGAGGTTAAGGACCATCCTGCTAAAAGATAAAAGGGTCAACCACGAAATTAAGGAAGAATTAAAAAGATTCATGGAAACTAATGAGAATGAAGATACAACTGTTCAAAATCTTTGGGATGCAGCAAAAGCAGTCCTGAGGGGGAAATACATCACAATACAAGCATCCATTCAAAAACTGCAAAGGACTCAAATACAAAAGCTAACCTTACACATAAAGGAGCTAGAGAAAAAACAGCAAATGGACCCGACGCCCAGCAGAAGAAGAGAGTTAATTAAAATTCGAGCAGAACTCAACGAAATTGAGACCAGAAGAACTGTGGAACAGATCAACAGAACCAGGAGTTGGTTCTTTGAAAGAATTAATAAGATAGATCAACCATTAGCCAACCTTATTAAAAAGAAGAGAGAGAAGACTCAAATTAATAAAATCATGAATGAGAAAGGAGAGATCACTACCAACACCAAGGAAATACAAACGATTTTAAAAACATATTATGAACAGCTCTATGCCAATAAATTAGGCAATCTAGAAGAAATGGACGCATTCCTGGAAAGCCACAAACTACCAAAACTGGAACAGGAAGAAATAGAAAACCTGAACAGGCCAATAACCAGGGAGGAAATTGAAGCAGTCATAAAAAACCTCCCAAGACACAAGAGTCCAGCGCTAGATGGCTTCCCAGGGGAATTCTATCAAACGTTTAAAGAAGAAACCATACCTATTCTACTAAAGCTGTTTGGAAAGATAGAAAGAGATGGAGTATTTCCAAATTCATTCTATGAGGCCAGCATCACCTTAATTCCAAAAGCAGACAAAGACCCCCACCAAAAAGGAGAATTACAGACCGATATCCCTGATGAACATGGATGCAAAAATTCTCAACAAGATACTAGCCAATAGGATCCAACAACACATTAAGAAAATTATTCAACACGACCAAGTAGGATTTATCCCCGGGACACAAGGCTGCTTCAACACTCGTAAAACAATCAATGTGATTCATCATATCAGCAAGAGAAAAACCAAGAACCATATGATCCTCTAATTAGATGCAGACAAAGCATTTGACAAATATACAGCATCCATTCCTGATCAAAACTCTTCAGAGTGTAGGAATAGAGGGAACATTCCTCGACATCTTAAAAGCCATCTATGAAAAGCCCACAGCAAATATCATTCTCAATGGGGAAGCACTGGGAGCCTTTCCCCTAAGATCAGGAACAAGACAAGGATGTCCACTCTCACCACTGCTATTCAACATAGTATTGGAAGTCCTAGCCTCAGCAATCAGACAACAAAAAGACATTAAAGGCATTCGAATTGGCAAAGAAGAAGTCAAACTCTCCCTCTTCGCCGATGACATGATCCTCTACATAGAAAACCCAAAAGCCTCCACCCCAAGATTGCTAGAACTCATACAGCAATTTGGTAGCGTGGCAGGATACAAAA